ACTGGATATGAATCTCCTTTAGTTTCTCTTTTGCCTGTCTTTTCCCACACCTGACATGCACTATACTCATCTCTGCCACACCCAGAACACACACCTAGATACTTCCCAGAATTGCGAAATTTGGGAACAATGTCTGTACTCTGGATCCAGGCTTGCCAAGCTCACCTAAGAATTGTCTTAGAAAGTAAAAGGATCAAGATCAAACCTTGATCTCAAGCCCAGCAAGTCTACAGAAATTCTAAAATCCAAAACCATTTTACAGCAATAAGATAAAGCAAATTTTGACCCCAGTAGACCTGTCTTTAAAAATCTGGTGCAAAAATAACTATTGCACCAAGAGTGAGGAAATGAAGAAGCAGTTTAAGATGGGGAATTGGAACTGAATCCATTCACCCCAATTCCTCTCCTCCATCTGCTCCTGCCCCTCGCTGAGCACTGGCAGCATTTCTGTGACAACCTCTCTGCACGTTTGAATGAAATATTCTGGTGTCAAGACATTGTTTTTTCATAGTAGTTGAAATTACTCCAAAGGGATTTCAAAATTGATTCCTGCTATGATTTTCCTGACAATACTTTGAATTCTTCTCTTTAGAAGAGAATTAGGTACTAGAGGACTATTACAAATGTCTGCATGTATGTCATGTATGTTCCACCTAAATTAAAGTCAAGATGTCAGGAGGAGTACCTAAGAAGACAGTGTCCTTCCCAGATGTGAAAGGCTTTGGCCACATCTCCTCTGTTCTAAAGATTTGTAGGGTGGAACTCAAGGGTTAAATGATGAACTTTAAAACATGTTTATTTTAAAACAAGCCAGGCTATATTTCAGAGTAGACATTGTATAAAAAATTTTAATATATAAATGCCAAATGTCATCTTTGATATAAGGAGAGCAACTAAGAACAGAGCAGGGAGGAAGAGCATGAGAAGAAGATAAACATTAAACAGGGAGGAGAGGTGGGACGGAAAGGGAGAGAAAAGGGAAATTGCATGTAAATGGAAGGAGACCCTCATCGTTATACAAAATTACATATAAGAGGAGGTGAAGGGAAAGGGGGGAAAAACAAGGGAGAAAAATGAAGTACAGTAGATGGGGCAGAGAGAGAAGATGGGAGGGGAGGGGAGGGGAGGGGGGATAGTAGAGGATAGGAAAGACAGTAGAATACAACAGACAATAGTATGGCAGTATGTAAAAACGTGGATATGTAACCGATGTGATTCTGCAATCTGTATACGGGGGAAAAATGGGAGTTCATAACCCACTTGAATCAAATGTATGAAATATGATATGTCAAGAGCTATGTAATGTTTTGAACAACTAATAAAAAAATAATTTTGCAGGAAAAAAAATTTTAATATGAGGGTTATGCATTCATTTTCCTCTGCTTGGAGTACTTGGATGAAAGAGTTAACACAATGATGCATGAAATGCATCATTACATTTCTACTTCTGATCAGGTATCTTCTATAATATCACCTAAGCCAAAAGAATTGGATGTGCTGTACCTATATCTGTGTACTTGGTTTCATCTGTGGCCACAGGATATTTCTTTAAGCAACACAAACTTCAGAATACCATAATTAATATTCACAAAATTTTATACAGTACATGGATGATTCTAATGTCTGAAACTAAGTTGAACTTCATTAGGAACATATAATATAACATCAAAAGCATTTATTTATGAAAAGCTAACAGTAAATACTTAAGAAAGCTATACTGCAGTTTTATTTAAGAAGCTCTACTCATCAGGTCTCCAAATCGAGACCAGACACTCTCGTTTCAACCACACCCTGAGATGGTTTGGAAATGGACTTATATGTGTAATGCTTACAAAGTAATGACTCACGTGGTCCAATCACAGAGAAGCGCTCCAAAAGTAGACAGGTGATAATGAAAAGTCATTCTCAAACAATGGGAACTGTTTCTTAAACACAGTGCAGTTAAGTACGTAGCTCCTTGGAGGTAGATTTTTAAAGGTTTTTTTTATCCCCTTCATTGACTTCAGCTGCCTCACTCACCCCCACCTCTCCACAGATGGTCAGACTCACACAGGCCTGCTCCCACTTTTGGCCCTTCCCCTGACCCATACTTCTCCATAATAAGATGTTCCAAACACACTAGCCAGGTAGAAACCTCCTTGGAGGGTAAAATAGAAGAGATTGAGGAACCCAAACCAACACAAGGAGGGAAGGCAGGCCAGGGAACAGTGCCAATACCGTGCCACACCCTACTGTACCAAACCCTGCCCAAAACCATACATTATTACTGTCCTTGTCATTTCATGCTCCTGTGATTCCATTTCTTCTCTGAACAAGTAAGAATAATTGAATCCATATGAGAGGGTCAAGGAGAGGCTTATACAGGATAGTACATGAGAAGCCTTTAGGACAGAGCATCTGTTAGTCAGCCTGATCTTCACCTCTGGGTTTTACCTGAGAAAGACCTAGACCTACTGTTCCAGGTCAGGCCTACTGGCAAATGACTGAGAGAGACCTCTAAACACACCCCTCAATTCTCACCCTCCTCCCTTCCATTCCTGCTCTCTCCCCTGCCAACTCCAAGCAGAGCACCCCTTTGGCACTTACCAAGAATCACAGCTGTCCCTTCCCTACAGACTTGGGTTTGTTGAGGGTGGAATTTCCCTGGGCTATGAACAATGTCACTCATTTTTCTTGTTTCAGAAATTTGACAAAAATCTTTGATTAGCTTATGGATCCCTCTTCTGTTATAGATCTTTTCCTTCCTGTTTACTGTTCTATAGTTTTTGCTCTGCTGTTCAGAAGAGACATGTTTAATAGAGTCCACTCCACCATCTTGAATTGGCAGCTCCCTGGAATACAATAAAGTTGTTGTTTTACTTGGCTCTAGGTGCTTTTGATCGAGTTTATAGTTACTTATTTAGCAGCTCTTCCACCTCAAGGAATATTCTTCGATTTTTTTTTTTTTTTTTGAGAGAGAGAGAGAGAATCTTTTTTGTAGATGGACACAACACAATGCCTTTTATTTTTATGTGGTGCTGAGAATTGAACCCGGGTCCCACCCTTGCTAGGCGAGCGCTCTACTGCTGAGCCACAATCCCAGCCCCAATATTCTTTGATTTTTATTAGAGAAAAAATTCCATCACGGTATTAAGGTGATTTTAATCATTTTCTCTATTATGAAAAACAATTAAAAAAAAAACAAAAAAATTGCTTCTTTTTATCCTTTTTCCCTTTCCCAGGATTGAGTGGATTATAAAACAAGCAAATACACAAGTACTCAAAATCTCAGACTTTGACCAAAAAGGTCTGATTCGGCAATCATTTTAGGTAAGAATACTGAGACCCTCAGGGACATAACCTGCCCAATCCTGTACAACTAGCAAGAGCCAAAGTTGGGATGAGACTAAGATGCATTCTTTCAGGTCAGCCTAGAAAAACTATGCAAGTCAATTATGCGTCTGAGCTTATTACATTAGTAAGAATGTCTTTCAGCAGAAGTTTGTAGAAAAAACAACGCAATTAAATTACAGTGGCTATCTTCTCCCATTGCTTTAATTTCCTTAAAAGAGGAAAGCTTATCAAATTTTATAGTCAGTCTTGCATGATACAATTTTGAGGCTAAAATTAATTACATATATTCCACAACTTCCCACGTGACCACTGCGAGACCTTGATGTATTACTTCTTTGTTACATTCAATAGCAAATGGCACTTAGCATATCTAACTACTATAGTGTCAATTCGAGATAATTGTTTGGGAACTTAGACCTGCTTATTTAAAGGGTGGGGACTCAATGTTAATTAGAGGAACAAAGCAACCTCAGCTTGACCATGGGAAATCTCATACAATGCCCAGTTAGTCTTTAGGTGGTTTTTTCAAATTCTTCATTATTTCTGGAATTCTCAGGAATTTCAGGACATTAAAGTATCTGTCCTGGTGACTCTGGACCAACAAGGAATAGGGGGATTCCGCACTTGAACAGGGCTAAAGGAAATGGAACATTTCAGCAAAGTAATGATAGTGTATCTTGTCCCAGATCTTCCATTGGCCCCAGGAAGTTGTATTTTTCCATAGTGTACGCCATTAAGACACAGTGTGTTATTGACTCAAGAGGGGAAGAGGAAAGTTGGAAGAGAAAAATTCAAAGACAAAAGTGTGTTTTAGAGAAGCTTGTGATCTGAGTCATTTTCATTTGTAACAGGAAGTTTTCCTGCTCTGTAGGTATCCATTATCTTCATGAGTTAGCTGTGCTGTTATTTTGGCAGATGGTAGTTTTGACATTATTAATTACCATTTTAAGTTAACTAGCAGTCAAAGAATAGTCAAGTTTTAAAACAAAAATTTGTCATACATAATCACACCATATTCCTTAAAATTTATGATGGAAAATGGTTTTCTCATCATTTGAAAGGTATAAGAGGAAAATTTACTGCCAAGGATCAACTGGTCAACAGAAGCAGAGAGTACCCATTCTTCCACCTGTCACTTTGAAGCCCCTCTTCTTACTTACTTACATACACCATTGTAGAATTAATTTGTGACTTATGGTGGAAAAAACTATTGAATGCAAGATAGGCAAGGGAAAGAAGTAGACCACTACCTCCTCTTCCTGAATGGAAGAGGACCCACCCCAAGGAAGAGGCTGTGCACAGATGATGGGAGAGGGTCATCTGAATCTTCAGCTCACCCACAGAAATCTTCCCTGGGTATCAGAACCTACTAGAAATTTTAGTCAGTTTCCTTTTGCTAGAAGCACTGGATAAAATGTTGTCTGATATCAGTGCATTGGTTATTCATTCATTAAGGGAAAAGCTCAGAGAGTAGACTGCTAGATTCATTAATATTTCAAAAACTATAATTGAACACCTAAAAGAAGCAAGAATCCTAAAACTGAGAAAAAGCAACTTTTCATTTTATCTAATGTTCTTACCCACTCATAGCATTTTTTAAAAAATTCCCTTCCCCAAAATAGCTAATTAGCAACAACAACCAAAAAATAAAAAGTGCAAACTAGACAAAAGATTTGAAACCTGGTTTATTGGGAAAAACTCACAATGAAAACTGCAATTGCTTATGCTGCAACTTACAAAACAATAATTTGATATATAAAATGAGTTGGTTATCATTATGTCAGTAAAAATGGTTTAAAAAACCCCCAATAATTTAGCCAATATATACTTAGAGAAACTCACATCCTGTGTTCTCCTGTTGTATGTTTTACATCAGACATTTTAAGTCTGTTTACCAAGGAATACCAGGTTTTTAACTATATGTTGGTTTTTATTACAGTTAAAATCTATCAGAGCTGTGTCTATATGATTACAGCCCAGTTAAACCCAAAATGAAAAATCCAAGCCACTTTTTCTTCCTGGGCTGTTTCAATGGCACTTTTGTGATAGCGACAGCCTCCTAAGGCTTCACAACATGACCTAATCAGATCCATCAATCAGAGTGAATTAGACCTGGTCCACCTTTTAGTCCAGTCTACATTGGAACTGAACACATAGACACAAAACAAGTATAGATGTATTAATATAGCAATTTCCCACACCCTAACTCTATAAACTACTTTAAAAGAGAAATTTTCATCTCAACATTTCACTACTTAAAGAGGTCTTTATACTAAAACCTGTTTTACCCATGAAACAATACTTTCCTGTATAACACATCAAGTTAAGGCAAAGCTTAGCAAAGAAGCAACTATTCATGACATTAATTAGAAATTCTTACAAATGATAGCCCCTAGGAAATTATTTTGCTTCTTTGAATAGCTGAAGACTTGAAAAAGTATTTTTTGTTTTGCTTTTATTCTGAAGATTTGGTCACTGATAATTTTTACCAACATCTCCCTCTATTCCTTAACCCTTATAGAAACAGTCCATTCTATATGGGAAAAACAAAACTTGATCAGACCATTAAATCTTAGAAGCCATCTCCTTCTCACCTTATTAAGTTTGTGTTTATATTCGTTTACAAATGCAGCATGTTATAGACAGATATAAGGAAATACTGCATTAATAACTAGCAAAACAAGCCTTTTGTATTCCACAAAACATGTAAAAGATGAATATGAAAGTACACACTATTTAAAAATTTTTTTCTCCCGAATTATTTTAGCACTTTTGTCTAGTTTAATCATAGGAACGCAACCAAATCATAGCTTCCAAGTGGGCTGGAGAAAAGCGTCCTCCTCTGGTCCATGTCAGCAGCAGGGCTTTCTTTCACTCCTTGCCCACATCAGGCAGACGTGTAGAAGTACCTGGGCTTGGCGTTGCCCAGCAGGTCATCTTCGTAGTTGGGGAGACAGCAGAAAAAGAAGGCGCAGCCAATCAGGATGATCGTGGCTGCCCACCCGAAGCCATAGGCCCAGTTGTAGATGTAAGTGACAGCTACGTTGGCATGAAGGTTGAAGGTTTGGGTGTACTTCACAGGGTAGATTACCAGAGAGATGATCTGGAACACAGCTGAAGAAAAGAAAAGAATACCGGAGTATTAATGCATGCAGACATGAATGAATGAATGCACAGAACAGATTACTCCTTCCCACCAAGTTTCTGACTTTAAATATGTGTTAAATCCACCTAAAACATGAAGTGGATGAAGGAGTGTAGTTAACTATGAGCCAAAAACCATATTGGCTAATAAGAGACACCTGGCACCGAAGAGCTTGACACATATATAATGACTATATGAAATACAGACAGAACACAGTAAGAGAATCACTTTATATTGCACATATTGTTCTCCTGTTGTATGTTTGTGTTGTATAATAGAAAGCAGAGTGGTAAAGAAGTCTTTTTTTTTCACCTTCATGTTTCCTGTGCCAAATACAGTTAATATATTCAGGGTTAGCAAAAATTACATATATCTATACATATACACACACATGCATACACATATATGATTCAATATTAATATTAACTAATGTATCATTGGAAAATTCATTTGGTTTTTAGTGAATGACTAAATGAAACAATGAAGCCATGGTGGTAATGATCAATGTGGAGAATCACCAGAAAATCCCATAGAGAAGGTGAAGAGTAATACAGAGACAGAGGGCAACAGGGAATAGCACCCCAGGTTGGAGGAAAAGAAAGAATAAAAAAAAGGGAATAACCAGCATGTTTTAGGGAAGGACAAGAGAGGATGTGGAAAGGAAAACCTATGTCAAAAAGAGTTCTGAATGAGTTGGAAATAACTTTCCCATGTTCTTATATGAATACACAACCAGTGTAACTCCATATCACGTTCAACTACAAGAATGGGGGTCCTAATTAGAATAAGTTATACTCCATGTATGTATAATATGTCCAAATACATTCCACTGTCATGCATGTCTAAAAAGAACAAATAAGAAAAAAAATACACATATTAATAAAGGATAGCTACCTTTTAGTATTAAAAAAGAAATGATTAGATTATGAGAATTGTAAACTAATTGGTAGATTAATCCACCATATGGATTGTCTGGGTGGTAACTGTATGCAGGTAGGATGTGGCTGGAGAAGGTAGATCCCTAGGGGCTTGCCCTTAGAGTTTATATTTTATCCTTGTTTAGTGGTATGCTCTCTCTCTCTCCTCTCTCTCTGCTTCCTGATTGCCATGTTCTGAGCTGCTTACCTCTGCTTTTCCCTTTGCCACGATATCTGCCTCACCTTGGGCACAGAGCTACAGTTGAGCCACCTAAAACTACGAGCCTAAACAAACTTTTCCTCCTCTAATTGTTCTTATCAGGTATATTTGTCACGATGAAGAAAAGCTAACTAAAACACTAAGTTATTGCTGTTTATAGTAATCCCTGAAAAATCCATTTTTATTTCTCTAGAATCAGTAAGGATCTGTAATTATTCATTGTTTTTTTAAATATATATATTTTTAGTTGTAGGTGGACACAATACCTTTATTTTATTTTTATGTGGTGCTGAGGATTGAATCCACTGCCTCACACATACTAGGCAGGCATTCTACCACTGAGCCACAACCCTAGCCCCCACTTATTCATTCTTGACCTCAATATTTCACTCCACCATCCTTTCAATAAAAATTTATGTCTTCTCAAAAAAAAAGAGTTCTGAATGCTGTGTTGTCAAAATCACAGCATTAATTATGATTAATCATCATATTTAAAGTTGTTTAAAATGCCAATAAGTTTATAGAATCTACATTTGGAGTCTACAAAGAAAATGAAAGATTTTATAAAACTATAACAGTATTTACGTGCTAAGTTATGTTTTGCCTTGATGTGTTTATGTCTCTCAGGTGCACTGCCAAGTCCAAGGGCAGGAACGGATTTTAGCCCATTAAGACACCGCTCTCAAGAGCAGGCACCAACTGGCTGTACCTAGGAACGCAGCAGGGAATGTCTAATCCTCACCACCAGGTTTTTCATTATCTTAGTTTTCTTCTACTAGCTCCATAGATGTGCCCCAAAGTGCACAAAGTTCTCTTCTTTTTTTAGAAATGCAGTAAATGTTTCCATATCTTGATTTGCTGCTTCTATTTTTCAACTCAATCAAAATGTTTCTCTTCTTGTCTTCTTATATACTCTAAATAGCAAAGCTACTAGTTAAGCTTGTCCTTCACACACTGCAAAATACTGTATAAGACACACAAAAGTAATCCTTCTCTATACTGACCTCTGATTTTCCTAGTAATAAATGTTAAATGTTAAATAAATGTTAAATATTGTTTTCTAGTAATAAATGTTAACTATTGACATGAAGTTCTTATAATGATTTGGATGAATTTCTGCAAAATTTAAATTGTATCAGTGTTCAACTTTTCTGATTTTAACAATATTATATATAAATTAAAAATAACTTTTGCTGTGAAATATATCTTTAAAAACAAGTAAGAATTATTCAACATTATTACTACCAAAAATGCGTTAAGATGTCTGGACTTTTTATTCTTCTATATACATTTCCTTGTCAAACCTTAAAGGAAGTGATAAATATTAAATTATAATATGAGAACACAGTTGTTAAGCAGGACCTTTCAGCTATAAACCTGTTGAGCACTAGAACTAATTTTCTATACATGCTACCTTGTTAGCTTGGACAGCCACTACTTGACCTTACTATTTTAAAGCTAAGACAGAGCAATGGTTGAAGGAGTTTTCCCAGGATAATTTTTATCATGGTAAAATATACATAGCATAATATTTATCATTTTTTACCATTTATAAGTGTTTAATTCAGTGGCATTGAGTACACTCGCAGGGTGAATAACCATCACCACTATCTATATCCAAAACTCTTTCACTATCCTCACATGCACTCCATATCCAATAAAAAAAATAGCTCCCAGATCCCCCACTCACAGCCCCTGGAAACATCTTTTCTATTTCCTGTCTCTATGAATTTGCCTTTTCTAGGTACTTCATGTAAATGGAGTGATATCTTATCCCTCTATGTCTGGCTTATTTCACATGGCATAACGTTTTCAGGGTACATCATGTTGTAACATGATCAAAATTTCATTCCTTTTTATGGCCAAAGAATACTCAATTGTATCTATGTATCACATTTTGTGTGGCCATTCATATGCTGATGAATACTTTGCTTCACCTTTTGGTTATTGGGAATAATGCTATGCCCGTGGTTACAAATGTGTGTCCAAGTTTCTGTTTTTAATTCTTTTGGATGCATACCTAGCAGTGAGCTTGTGGGTCACATAGAATTCACTAGGAGTCTTCAACTAAGATTAATATCCTAGCATGTTGTTCCTAATGGCAACTTCAGCAGGTACCCATTTAGCCTTCTAAGGCATGGGAAAGGAAAGAATGACAAATCAAATATGTTCCTGTGATGAGCTCTCATAAATTTGAACTATGAAAAGCCAAACAGAAGTGCAGGTTTCAGCAAGGTTTTTCATATCTTTTGTAATTCCAAGTTACTTCTGATTTTTAAAATATTTTGCAAAAAGCAAGCTTTGAAACATGAGAAACACAGAGTAAGCTTTTGTTTTTCAAACAAGAGAAATTTGTCCAATGGAAAGGCTGAGCCAGGACTGCGCTGGTCATTCTCTGATGCCACTCCTTCCTCTCAGACAAGTCTTCTCACTCCTCATTTGTGTGGCCCTACGCTCTGCAAACTCAACTGATCTCAGCACAGGGAACCCAGCATACAGTGGTCTCCCTCCTGGCTCATGTTCAATCTTAGAGACAAAGCTATCAACCAGCTTCCAAGACTATCTGCTAACGTTGTATTTGTCCCGAGGTCTGCAGTCTGCTTTGGTCCTGTGAGCCTTGGTTGGTATCTGTGGCCTGTGGCCTCGCTTTGCTCTTTTTAGCACCTTCTTTTTTCTCCTCCTCAGAAAATCCAGTTTTGCATCTGGATTCAGCTCTGTAGCTGAGGTCTTGTCCCTTTGACAGGTGCCTGACAAAAGTTTCAAATAGTTCTTGCTCCTAAATTCCTATATTATTATTATATGACATTCTATTCCACTATTAAAGGTCCACTCTGAGCCCTACCCACCTGCAGAACTGGATTTCTTCACATTACCTATGTCTGAATCTCCCCTGGCACAAGCTCTATGCTGTGGTCCCTCCCCACCTCAGTGCAGAAAACCCTTTCATGATCCACCATATCACAAAGTCACAAAATTCTTTCAATAAGTGAAATGATACAGGGACACTCAGGTCTCCTCAGCACAGGGCTCACAGGAGGCCAGGACTAGGGACCACTCTAAAAACCATTATACTTCCAGAGGAATATAGCTCTGGTCCCTTAGGTAGGTAGGTACCAGTGGATGGAGCCACCTAGGAGAGAGAGGGGCACACACAGAATAACTTGGTCACTTGAGTAGGAAGCATAAAATACTGTCGAAGGCACAAGAGGAAAGGAATCCTCTGTTGGTGAGCTATTTCCAAGAATAGATCAGAAACCATAATTATCAAGGATCTTCCTGGTAGAAAGGAACATGATCTATTGATGTCCATTGTAGATATAAAGGAAAAATTGCTGCCACCCAGTCTTACCAGCCAGAGCAAGGAGGCCTCCAATCACTCTCAGGAAGACAAGCATTTGAGGTCCACAGAGCGCAAAGAAAGAGAGGATGAAACAGATGACCAGGATGATAAAGCCACAGAAGAGCATGGCGGCCGCAGCTCTTCCCCACGCTGCAAGAAAAGGGAAACAAATTAATCAGGCAGACATGTCAAATTTAAAAACTGCTTATCAAATATCAGTAGGGGGCTAGGGTTGTAGGTCAGTGGTAGAGCACTTGCTTCTCATGTGAGGCACTGGGTTCAATCCTCAGCACCATGTAAAAATAAAATAAAGGTACTGTGTCCACCTAAAATCAAAATATTTTTTATCAATAGGGTTTCGTTTTTTCTTTCTACTAGCAAAATTTGTGTGGAGGGACAGTTTTCTTTTGACAATACTTAAGTACCTTCACATTTCAAGGGAAGATGAGGCAATTCAAATATACAGACTGTTCATCTATTGAGACTCAGGAAATGTTTACTCCCCTCAGTTTGGGGATAAGTGTTTACATCTCTGAAATGGAAGTTCCTCTTCTTTAAACTGTTTCTTATTAAATAAATTTGCCATACAAATAGATATATTTAAAAGGTTTTACCAAGCTCTAACCCAACATGATCAGACTAAACATTCGTAGTATTAGAGAATTTAAATTACAAATTTTGTAGGAAATGTTTCAAATGCCTTTAAGGATTTTGTTTTCTATTAATGTTTGGTTTCATGCAAAAAGAACAACTGAAAACATATCTTTATAACTAGGCAGAGATGCTAAATAAAACAATGAAAGAAAAAGCCATGATTCTACAACAAGTTTGGTAGCAAACCACCTTGCTAAATTTCTGCCTAAATTTTTCCTTTCTAAAGTATTCAGAATTTATCACACAAGAGTTCTTAATTATTGATCTTGGCCCTAGAAAGAGAATCAGAATGAATTCTAGGTTTGAGGAACCTACATGGGCCCCTCATGTAGGAAACCCATCCATGATACACATACAGACAACTCCAGTCTACAATTCCAGTCGCTCCACCAGCACTGATTTCTAAACACTCTTTGCATACAACCTTGGATCTAGAGCTTGAAAAATAGCATTTAGGACACATGCTAGCTCACTGACTCCTCACAACTTCTTAGGCTCACAAGAGTTTCAGTTCTAGTTTAGAAACGAGGATTTACTTGGGCTTTAAGAGTTCAGATAACCAGCACACAGTCACATGGCTAGTAAATGGTTTAGATAGTTAGATTTCCAACCTGTCTGAATCCAAAACATGAAGTTTTTAGATACAATTTAGATGCCTTAAAATGCACTCCTTTAAAAGGTACACGTTCATAGTTTTCACTATATTCGCAGGGTTGTGCAAGCATCACCACTATAATTGCAGAACATTTTTATCACCCCAAAAAGAAACCTGCGAGCCATCATTTCCCAGTCCCCCTTTCCCCAGCCTCTGGCAACCACTAATCTAAATGCACCTATTCTGGACATTTCCCAGGATCATATGGCCTGTAGCCTTGTGTGATTGGCTTTTTTCTCTGAACCTGGTAGTTTTTTCAAGGGTTCATCCACATTACACCATGAATCAGTATTTTCTTCCTTTTGGTGGTTGAATAATACTCTATCATATGGATATTTTGTTTACCCATTCATCTGTTACTGGAAGAACATGTTCTTAACCTATTACTCATTATTGCATTTGAAAAGGAAACTCATTTGCCCTTTGCCCTGGTTTTACTTCTACTCTCTAACACATTGACAGCAGACAACATTCTCCCTCAATTCTAGGTCATTTGGGTGCTCCAAGTCAAACAAAGACATAGGCCAGCAGGAAATACAGGGGCTTTGGAGCCAGCTAGACCTCATTTATACCCTGCATCTGCCACCTGTTAGCTTCATGCTAGTCTCTTCACTCTTCTCACTGTTGCCTGCATGATTTTACCTCCCTCAAGCCTTAACTCAGATGTCACTCAGCTAAAAATGCTTATTGCAAGGTTCATGTAAGGATGAGTGCTGCTGTGTGCAAATCACCAGCTCCCCAGAGACCACTGCTCACAAAGATCCTCCTCTATTTCTATGGCTTTTCTCCAGGACTCAAGTTTTATTCTATATTTGGTGAATAAAACCAAAATGTGAATTTTTTCCTCACTTTTGCCTTGTCCTTCAAGTATGGAAACTTTTAAGAGAGAAGGGACCATGTTTTAGAAGGAGCATTAATTAACTACACCTCCTCAGAGTGTAGCCCATAGACCATACTGTCATTTTAATCAGTGGTGTTCAATAAACATGCAGATTCCGGCACCTCCCTCCAGACTTAACGGAATCACAGATGGAATCGCATTTTGGTAGTACCATGTTTCTTATATCCATACTAAAGTTAGAGAACAACTAAGATTCATACTTAAACTCCCCATAGAATAGAATAGCACTACCAAAAAGGAGCCCAGAAATTTCAGTATGTACCCCTCTGTCAATTATAGTCTCATTTCTATAGATTTTTGAGTGTGTGGTTATTGCCAGCCATTGAGTTTAATTAAATCCAATTGTGCCCAGGGTGGTGGCGCGTGCCTGTAATCCCAGCTGCTAAGGAGGCTGAGGTAGGAGGATCACGAAAAGCCAGACTCAGCAAAAGAGAGGTGTTAAGCAACTCCATGAAATCCTGTCTCTAAATAAAATACAAAATAGGGCTGGAGATGTGGCTCAGTGGCTGAGTGCCCCTAAGTTCAATCCCCGGTACTACCCGAAAAACCACAAAAAAATCCAATCATTAAATTCAAATGAGCAAAGATTTACTTTTCCCTGTATGAGTTCATAAATTTGATACTCTGCAATTCCATGTGCATGTGGAGGACTGCAGACATAATGAAATACGCTGTGGGGCAGAGGGGAGCTTTCAATAGTACAGGAAAAACATCCTCATGAGGAACCCATTTCAATAACCAAAGTTTTCTACTCACAGATCCATGTTTTAAAAGTCTGGCTAAATAAGTTATGTGTAATATTACTATAAAATAAATAATGATTCTACCTGCTTATTTGAGTTAAATTAACACAGATTATTGTGATTGCTGCTTCCTCCCACATTTTAACTGAAGAATAATTTATGCTTAGTTTCAGGTACTTGAAAGGAATTAAATAAAAGAAACCGTAAGCTAATTCACCCAGCCTTATGCCAACAAGTGGACATCCATACAAATTGGACCATTTTGAGAAACTGTTTTTATTAATTCAGTTAATGTCTTGATTATTTAAAGTGCTGAGTCTAAAGAAAATCAAAATGGAAATAAAGCAACATTTTGTCTTGGGAAAGGCCACCTTGGTTGCAGAACGTGTAAAACCTGCTCCTTACAGCATGGAAACACCCACATTGAAACATTTAACTATCATTTAGACAGAAATCTTGGCATGGTTTTAAAGGTCCTCACTGAGGAATGTCAGACCTCTCCACATAAGGCAAGCAGCTTCCCACGTCCTTGACTTGAAGTAAAATGATCAGATGGACCATACCAGGTCTGAGCAGGCTGCTTGAGACCCAGTGTTCTGAGAAGGGAATCATCAGTCCTACAGGCTTAGAGCAGGGCTGTTCTCCACAGTATACATTTTGTAAAAAGTTAAGTGTATTTATCCTAAGTAAATTTTGACTCAGCTGTCCAGACTAAGCCCAATATCTATAAATTTAGCCAGCCCTTTTGGAACTATTCATATTTCTTATATGATCTAAATTACACCACATTACCAACCCTAATGGGAAAATATCAATTTTTAAAATGGGTCCTAAATCTAAACTTCTTTTATGATTTAACAGATGGCCTGTAGTTCTTCAAATGCAGTCTTCATCTTATCTTTTCGGAACACAAGTCTGTCCTTCATTACTATTTTACTACTCCAGATTTTAAGGCCTTTCTTAATTGCACGCATGTGGTACCAGGGAGGGTTCTCACTGTCAGTTGTTAGCCCCCGAATTAAGACAACAAAAGCCAGCAGCACTCCAGGGAAATAGATGCTGTGTTTCTGCCTAGGAATTTTTGTTTGTTTTGTTTCCTCAAGGGAACACCAATTTGGTTTATATATGTACTCTATGTCCTAAGTTGATTTAGTAAGTACCACTTGGAGAAGATTATGTTGTCAAAGAAACCAGCATAATAAATCTACTTTCAAATAAAATGGATGAACAACAGCTTATCATCAAACTTTGCTATTACCTGCCAAAATCCAACATTTAATCAAGAGCATGAAAACTATTCAGTGGCCACTAATGAAACTGGAGTTTTCCTGGGAAGTGTTTCTAAGGTTTTGTTGTTGTTGTTGTTTGTATGAGGAAGCATCCTATATTTTTCTCCAGAAATTATACAGGAGAACACATGTTACAAAGCAGAGATGGGTAGGAAAAGACTAGCAAGGACAACGGATAAGAAAAAGGTAAAACTAAACAAAAACCTTGAGGATCAAACTAGAAATGATAAACTACAGTTTGGCAGGGGTGGGGGAGACACTTATCTTAAAACAAGGAGAACATTGCTAATATATTTAATGTTGCTGGTGATATTTTGGAGACCATGTACTACTATTTCCCCCAAAGTGAGTGCTTCTTTCATGGATTTGCTGAATTCTTCAGGTGTTTTACATGGACACCAAATGGACTGAAACCATCAGTGCCCTTCTCCTTGCACCAGGACACCAATGTCACCAAACCAGGGTTTCTTCCCTTTTCAGAATGAAGGATTCGTCTATTAGTCCCCACCGAGGGGACCTGAGCTGAGTTTTTGTCAGATATCTTCATATTGTTTCTATGAGGTTCTTTATGCCACATTCAGGCAGAATTGAAATCATAGTTAAAAAAGTAAAAGGTCCTATCTATCCATAAATAAACATGAGTAGATACTATACTCCAAAACACTCTTTTGCAGAGTCATCTGTAGTGACTTGGCCAGTGCTTCCGAAACTCAAAAGGGGAAGTTGTTAATGCAGATTCTGATTCAGTAGGTGGATGTGGCACTAAACCTCCCAGATCCTGCTGATGCTACTGGTAAGTAACACCTGGAGTGGCAAAAATTCAGAGGACAACAGAGTGTACTTGCAAACACAAAACAAATCTACCTAGGAAGATGCCGCCATCCTGCAAGGAATAGTTCAGCAGAGAACTGCAGGGAGAACCACAGGGGCCAGCATTCCACAGCTGGTGTGAGATTCTTCACATGCTCCACATTTTCTCCTGAAACTGGGCCAGGCAGTGACTACTTAGTTACCACTGTGCTCTTACAGAGCTACCCTACTCCACCACGTTATGGTCTTCTTTCATCTAATCAGTGAACGAGCAAGCCCTCCTATACAGGAAGAAGTGAACATGAGAATTTTTACTTTGAAGACAAGAGAATTAGCAATGAATTGGGGATCTATTCTTAAATATTTAAAATCTGTCCGAAGGAAGAAAGAAACTGGAAAGCAGAAATCCAGGGAAGCACATTCCAGCTCAGTCGGTGTGAGATGGGGTGTTTGTAAACAAATAGCATCAGTCAGGGAACAGATTGAAGTTGCCAAATAAAAGGAACCTGCTCATCAGCTGAAGTTAACGAGCATGGGGCTTTGTCCAGCGCTTGAACTGGATGCACTTTAATTCTAACAGTCCAGGAGTCTGTGACTTGACATGGCAGAGACAAGTTAGGTCACAGGAAAGGGACTGTGGCTTTCTGGGGTAGCAACTGCTAAGAGAAGCAATACACTAGACCAGCCTATAAGACTAGTTAGACTTTAAGACTCCCAAAATCAGTATATATTTAAACTACAGAGTGGCCAACTTTTTAATCTGTTGTGTAAGGACGTGAACACACACACATGTGAAGAAATACAAAGAGTCATCTGCCCACTAATGTCTAATGTCATAAAATAAGAATGTGAATAAAGAATAAAGAGCGTGTCTGTTACCCCGACACGCTCCCCCAAAAGCCACAGAGTATAATCTCAAAATGAAATCCTGTAAGTTGAATTTGGCCTGATGTAAACTATTGAGTTCATAATTATTATTCTCATTTTCTATACTTTTGAGAACCATAGGATTTAATGATCTAAAATTGTTTCATATAAATTCTGGTTCTTTGAGTTTTCCAAGAGGGATTTCTTGTGAAAAACACTGGATGTATCTGGTTGTATTCAAAGGGTAACTTTAGGGAAAATGAGGCTCTGGCCAGGCACAGTGGCATATGCCTGACCTCCCAGAGACTTGGGAGTCTGAGGCAGGAGGACTGCAAGTTCAAAGCCAGCCTTAGCAACTTAGCAAGATCCTGTCTCAAAACAAAAAATAAAAAAGACCGGGGATGTGGCTCAGTGGCCAAACGCCCCTGGGTTCACTCCCCAGTACCAAAAATTAATTAATTGATTAATTTAAAATGAGGCTCTGCATTTCTGAGTTCAGACTCCAGGTAACAACTCTCCACTTTCTTTTCTATTCCTCTGTTTCATTGCTCACACCCATTATTCTCCAAACTGACAAGCTAGAGCCTGCCCCGATTTGAAATCTCTATAGCCAATGCTTAGACTATATTCCTGATTAATTTGTCCTTAAAACTAGAAAGGTGCTGGCAGCTCAGGAACACTATGTATTGAATGCACATTCAAGCTGAATCTCACATTTTATTTTTAGGTGACTTTGGATGACCATTTCAGTCGTAAACCTCGATTTTCTTTTCCCTCTTGACATATACAAATCAAAAAATTCAAATAAATATCCGTTAAGCTAGGCTTTAATTTAGCTATTACCATAATGTAAAAGATAATATTCAGAATATAATTTGACTCATTTACAAGGAAAAATGAGATAACTTGCTCATCTGAAATTTTTTTTTTAAAACACCAACAATGAAGAATAGTGTTCTGTTTTTCATATTTGTAGTGCTAAGGAACTATTTGCCTTTACAAAAACATTCATGTTCTTTAGTATTATTGCCAATACTTTCCAGAAATAACCTGTGTCTTTACCACAAAAAGAACATATTTACACCTAATGAAAGAGCTGGTCAAACACAGTAATGAAAAGGTCTACTTTCTTAACAGTTACAATGGTAATCGGGATACTTACTTCCTACTCCACATCAAGTTTTTTAAAAATGGTCATACTCAGTTCTCTATACTGAGGTATCACTTTGGTCAAAGCCACCCATGGTGATCTGTTTTACACAACCTGCTGCATGTTTGTACCCATGTGAGAGTGTGTGTAACTGCAAACTGTATTTAAGATAAAGTGTGATCTCAGGTAAACATTGTTTTCAGGAGGCCTTAAAGAGCTATGTGAAAATCTACAGAGTTCATAGATGCCTAGATAATCACCCTATAACACAGAAGTCTCAATTTCTACACTTGTGAGACAAAACTAGCCAAACAGTCCATGCAGGAGACGGATGGAAGAACAAGCACTTAAGCTCATCTTTGTCTCAGTGCTGGGAGGTGGACCCCTCTGTTGGCTTCATATCTAGCTGTCTTCTTCCCATGGCCAACAGCCATTCCTGGATTTGTGGCGTGATTCTTAGGGCCTGAGCCACAGCCATTACTGACACTTCACTATCTTTGCAAAGGTGACAGAAGTAACTCAATTGAGTTGTCAAAGCCACTATTGATTTATGAAAACAAGGTGTGCTGCATCAGAAAGGTAGTGACAGACTTTTCAAGATTCACTTGGAAAACTGAGCTTTTCCAAAAGGCAATTTCTGTAGCAAATTCAAAGGAACCATGCACTTGATCTCTTGATCTGGTGTGTTTTTTTACAATGAAAAAAGATAATGCTTCTGACTTCTCTATCTAAAGGAAATAAAATCCACCAAACTAGAAACAAAACCTGCTTATTCCCTTCAATACACTGACTACTATATCAGCTTAAGGCTGAAACAGCCGCACCCTAAAAGGTGAGCTCACCCAGCCCAACAAGAAACATTAAAGTGGCATTGTGCCTGTTTCAAAAGAGGGTTGCAGTCACAGCCAGGGCCCAGCAGGCCAAATCATGTCCCAACAAGAGTGGGACATGGCTCTACCAGCTTACCTCATATGTGGAGGATTACTGAGTGTTCTTTGGGTCTGCATAGGAGCCTTTGGCCTCAGAACTACCCAGATCTGTTTTTAAAAAAAACCCTGAACAGATCTCAAGTCTCCTACAGAAGACTGAGTTTGAACACATTTTAACTAGAAGATAGTTATATTATTTCAAAGTAATTAATTCCCTTTAAAGCCCTAAAATACTTGTGATAATACAAACCTTAGCAGGCAAAGTGTTTGTGTATGTGTTTTCAGATGGGAGTGGGGAAGCTTTAAGAAAAGCAGGAATTCCCTGCAGTCTCTGCATTTTATTACCTGCCTAGTGGGAACCCTGCCTCCTTTTCAGGAAAGTCCACCATGAGAACTTCCAAATGATTCCCTAAGAGTGAGGCTAGGCCTAGCCACCGATAACAGGGCCCAGAACCACCAATGAACAGGATTTGTTTGGAAACTGTAGGCTCCTTCAGGAAAAGAGTCAAGTCGGTGGAGAAAAAAAATCAAGGCTGCTTTCTTTCTCTTTAAAACTATATCACTTAGATGGTGAGGTCTCATTTGGCACCAAGCTTTCTATGATGTCCACAGGACCCCACTCCCTACACAATGCCAATCACAATGGACTCCAGCTGTTATGCATATCTATCCTGGGGGGGGGGCAGAGATTCCCCTGTAAAAGAAGATGCTTTTTCTTAAAAGAACTATTGTCCATTAACCAGTCAAGTACTGAGGCTTCCTCCAGCCTGGGAAAATAGAACACTCCATCTGCAAGGGATTAAATGTGCCAACTCTGCTTCCCTTCACTTCGCTGATGTAGATGATGAGTTTGCTATTTGGATATCAAATCAGATTAAAATAAATATTCTAAACAGCAATGCCAATGCTTAAGCCAAAAGGGCACTCCCTAGAGCAAGAGCAAACAAGAACTAGCCCAACAGGTAAAACACTTAAGTATCTACTGAAACCGTAATTTGCTAAAACTGCCAGAAAGGACTTTCTTCGTAGAAAAAAAAGTTTCTTTCCCTTCAATCCAATTAAGGAATTCACCTATTTAGGGAAGGCACGCTATTTTAATACTTAATATTTTAACCACAAGAACCAGAAGAGGAAGGAGAGTGGGAAGAAATTTCGGTAGGTCTCCAAGAAAGCACACTTTATTCTTTATATTTACTCATCTAAACCTCCACAACAGCTGGAATCTTCTTATGCAGGTAACTGACAAATCCTACAGGGAAAAAGCATAGTTTGAACTAGGGCCATTTTCTTTCGGTTTTGAACCTGACTTTGGACATCCAGAACAGCAGCTTCTTTTAGCTCAGATCGGATACAAGAACCTCGGTTTAGTTTTGTTTTGTTTTGTTGTAAGCAGCCACCGCCTGGAACCCCGTTAGGGCTCCGGACGCGCTGTGTCTGCCCCCAAGCCGCAGCCCCGAGGGCTTCCTGGAGGAGGCGGTGGGCACTCACCGTAGTCCATGAGGCTCTGGCAGCCATCGTCGTAGGACCCGCTGCCGCCGCCCTCACTGAAGCATCTCCACCACAGCGAGGACGTCTGGATGTGGTCGCTCGACTGCAGCCAGCCGCGGCCGGCCAGCGCGATGATGTCGAAGGCGATGGCGCTGAGCAGGAGCAGGGGCAGGATCCACCTGCAGCGCTCGCAGGCCAGGCCGCAGCGCAGCATGTCTACGATCGCGGCGCGGAGCAGAGGAGCGCGCGGAGCACGGGCGGCGGGGAGAGTGACCCGCCAGCGCTGGCTCCACGACAAAAGGGAAGAGGCCGCTGGGAGGCGGCTCCTGGGAGGACGGCGCTCGGGGCTGGCCGCGAGGGCGCGGCGCGCGGGCCCCACCTAGATTCCGGTGACTCAGAGCGCGCCGCCCCGACCTGCCCGCCGGCCCGGGGCGCGCGCGGCAAGGGCGGGGCCGCGGGTCAACCCGACCGGCTCGGGTTACACCCGGCGGGACCTCAACCCGCGGGGGTGACGCAGGGGGCCGCCCCTCTCCAGCAAGGTGGTTCCGAAGTTGGACGGCACGTCTGTCTGCGCGCACGGGCTGCGCACTTTGGCTCTGTCGTCCGACACTAGTGTGACTGTCAACAGGGCGATACTTGGGCTTGAAGCAGTTTGAGTTGGGTGTTCCAGCTGTCCCTGTGGGTCAACGCTGTCCCCGCCCCTATAGGAGTCAGGACCTGCGCACCCCAACCCAGGACCCCGTCCCTGACCGCGCAGGCAGAGGTGGCCACTTCCTCCCGGGCTCCACCTTTGCACCTTGGACCGTGGCTCCCTTCCGACTCATCTGTTTACAGGGCTTTTCCCGCTGGGTCGCGAGCTCCCAGTCTGCAGAGGCCATGTTTTCCGGGTGGCCTGGTGTCTCGCACCCAGTCTGGGTCAACAGGGGAGCTCAGGGACTTTCATGCAGGAACGCAGTTTAGCAGATACTGGCTTCAGTCTTGGAAGCGCTGCGTCTGGTTTCCCTTAGATAACTTTATGTCATTTCTGCTGCAGTCCAATCTCTTACACAACCTGTAGCTACTGAAACCCCACTTTTGTCTCTCAAAAAAAAAAAAAAAAAACATGTCAGCATGTGGCCAGCATCAAAAATCCCACCACTCAGCGTCCTGAGCCAGCTTCTGCCACAGCCCTTATTCCTCAGGTGTGGCGGAGAGGGTGGGGCCGCAACCCGGAGACAGGATTAGGAGAAACTAGTTCTGAGAGTGTGGCGCCATGGTGGCCTTGGGCAAGTGACTAAAACACCCAGTGAGGGGCACACTTTACCCCTTACCTAAAGAGTTCTTCTGAATCCCTTGTTTTGTATTAACTTAATATAAAAGAAATGAGAAGTACTTAATGTCTCAAATTTAGCCCTCTGTACTTCAGTTTGGTACTCTTAATAGGAACCAAATACTATTGTTTTAGACAGTTCTCTGGCAATTTTTGAGGGTGGATAAAATCAATGTACAGAGAAAATCAGTGTCTGAATCCACATGAAATTCTCCCCCTAGGCATTTTACATAAGCCAAGTTTTATTTATACAAACCAAATTCATATACTTTCATTAGGAGCAATTATTTTTCCTTTTTTAAAAACACTGAGTAGTTTCTCTTTTATTTTTTAAATACTTCAACTTGAGGCAGTGTGGTATAAATGGATATTAATTTTCATCTATGCCTTGGAAGCAGTCTGTTGCCCTAAGAAGGAATTTGATGACCATGCCTCAGAGGCCACAGATACACCTCAGCTATCTGTATCTTAGTACAGTGAGAGTCGAAATTAGACTATCATTGATAAAAATTTGTGTTTTCACTTTCAAAGAATAGCACAAGAGGGTATTCCGCAAAAAGTTACCTGCATGCATTATAGATTTTGTGAAGAAAATTGTGACATTTATGTTCTGAAGATTTTAATAGTAACAAAAATATTTGTTTAATTAGCTATGTGCAATATATTTGGGGTTTTTTTGGGGGGCAGGTACTGGAGGTTGAACTCAGGGACACTCTTCCACTGAGCCATATCCCCAGCCCTACTTTGTATTTTATTTAGAGATAGTCTCACTGAGTTGCTTAGCACCCCACTGTTGCTGAGGCTGGCTTTAAACTCACAATCTGTCTCAGCCTAAACCGCTGGGATTACAGGCATGTGCCACCCTGCCTGGCAGTAATATGTATATTTTAAGGAAAAATCATGTTTATACACATCAAATAGAACACTGATCATTGCAAAGTGGTTTTCCACAAAATAAGAGTTTCACTGGAGTCTTAATATTTCTGAATAATTTCAAATTAGTTGTAAGTTCTTTTTCTTATTCCAATGTAGCCATTTCCAATGGATTTGAGGAAAAGAACTAATTAATGCTGAGTTCAATGAAGGAAAACAGTTGTTCAGAATTTCTGGAAGAGACCACATTGACCCTGGCTAGGTTCCAACAATAATGCTCTTAACATGATTTGCACTGTAGAAACAGACAGTTCAAGCTTTCACATACTAGCTGTGTGGCATTGGGAAAGTTACTTAACCTCTTTGTTCCTTGATTTCCTCATCTGTAATGTGGATTTTGCTTGCTCCATAATGTTGCAATGAGCATCAACATATCATATATATATATATATATATATATATATATATATATATATGGTGTGTATGCGTGTGCGCTTTAAGTGTTTATTTGAACCTTGAGGTCTTTATAAAATTAGAACTCAAATGGAAGAATTTGGATAATTAAATTTAACTTTTCGGGTTGGGCTTTTGGCTCAGTGGTGGAGTGCTCGCCTAGCATGCACGAGGCACTGGGTTCAATCCTCAGAACCACATAAATGTAAAATAAAGATATTGTGTCCATGTAAAACTAAAAAATAAATTTAACTTTTCACAAATGTCAGTGGAAATGAAAGTTCAGGGTTAGATCCTCAGAGGGTGAGGGGAAGACATATGTTAATATTCAATCTGCATAATTTTATTTTATGAAATGTTTTCTATCACCACATAAAGCTTCAAAACTTCCACAAGTATCATCAATTGCCAAAATTACAAGGTGTAGAATATATAAATTCTGTCTCTCCTCCCTCATAAATTAACCTTGTCATATATATATATATATATATATATATATAATATATATAATATATATACATAATGTATATGATTATGTATATATATAATATTATAATATAATATATATAATATATATAATATATATAATATATTATATATAATATATATACATATATATATGATGGCGGAATGCATTACAATTCTTTTTACACATATAGAACACAATTTTTTATATCTCTGGTTGTATACAAAGTATATTCATACCAACTCATGTCTTCATACATATACTTTGGAATAGTAATGATTATCACATTCCATTATCATTTCCAACCCCATGCTCCCTCCCTTCCCCTCCAACTCCGCTGCCTTATCTAGAGTTCGTCTATCCTCCCATGCTCCCTCTCCCTTTCCCACTATGAATCAGCCTCCTTATATCAAAGAAAATATTCAGCATTTGGTTATTTCATATATTTTAAAGTATAATTTTTTAAAGTTATTTATAAATAAATAAATATTTATTCAGGATAATGCCTGCACAAAACTTAAAGGTATTGATGATGGTAATGATTTTTCATGTTTCTCACTTTAACAAGTTTGAAAAGGGGAACTTTCATGTCGATAATACTATGCATGAATACCAACCATAATTCACTGAGTTATCTTAAGACAGTACAATCGTCTGTCCCAGCCTATTCAAGATACAATGGAATATAGTGACTGATAGACAATTAACTAGTTCCCCCTGCTGGATAACACAGGGATTGCAGAGAGCTTGACAAAAATGTTAATTGAAAAAAAAATTGAGGAAAGTTTTTAGGTCGAAATGTTATTGATATACATAAAAAAATCTGTATATATTTAATATATACATCATGATGAGATTAGAGATAGTTGCACGCCCAGGAAGCTGTCACCATAAAGAAAAAGATTTTATTTTTATAATTTTGGTTATTGTGGTTATAAAGGAAGAAAATGTGGCAAACAAAAATACATAAATATTTAAGAGTGTGGGAAGTATTTCTTATTCTCTTATATATCATAAGAGTTTGGGAGATATTTCTTCAGCTTTTATTTACCTCATATACATCCATCCCACGACCAGTCCTCTCCCAGGCCATGTTGAAAAGATCCCCTGAGAATGTCCTGGTTATCTCTGGCAAGACGCTAGGCCTTCAACAGAGTTCTGTTGCGGCTGTTCAGCTGACTCCAGATATAAGGTCCCCTCCATTTCATATGGAGCCACTGAGTCTCTCCTGAACACGGTAAATATTCCTAGTGTCAATTATTTGGCAAAGAAGCTGGTCATGATTTTTCATATTCTACATTAATGGTAAAGCTTGACTGCTATGGACCAATGGGAATCAGTAATAAAAATGTAGGCCCGAGTTAGAAACAACACCTGAAATCCAAGAAATCAAGTATGTCCTGTATAAATTAACAATGACTGGGAAACATGGTAGATGTCAACAGCAGGACTCCTGGACCACCTCAGCCACTCCCTCCTGTTCCTTTGACCTAATAATCCTCAGATCTTAGCAAAATGTCCCTTCCTCAGAGAGCATTTCCTGAACTCTCATTTAGGTGAGGTCCCTGATACATGATCACAAGGCTCTATGTGTTTTTCCTTTTCAAATATTTCTTGCAAAATTCTAAGTATATATTTATTTTTGTTAGTAAGTTTTTGTCCACTTGTACTACATCACAGATTTAATGAGGGCAAGGATGCTGTATGTGAACTCTTGCCATTGTGTCTGCAGTTCCCAGTGCTGGGCACATGACAGGATTTCAACAAACACTTGTTAATGTAGTCTAGGCTTTAAATAACTCAGGATCTGAGCACTCTTTCTTTTAGAAGGTCCTATTGTGAAATTGTCATGCTCATTCCATGACAGCACTGTATCCTGTGACCCTTCCCCTTGAGATCATCAGGTTGCATATTGAGTCTTCTGACACTGAATGTTTCTTCTCTTCTCTTGGTTCTTGGCTCCTACATTTTTTTCTCTTTGGTTGACTTAAAATCTTCTATTATATCAACTTCTTGGGTTTTTTTTTAATCAGCTTTTGGCACTTCTCTGAACACCTTCTGGATTTTTAACATTTCTCATTGGATATGATGCTCAGAATTAAACCTGGTGCTCAGGGTGTGGTCTTCCCAGTACATTTTTGCTTCCAAAATGCTAAAGGTACCCTTCAAGGAAACAGCTCATTTTAAGGTGACAATCTGAAGATTCAATGAG